AGAAAGGATTGTTGTGGTCAAGAGGGTGGTTTTGGGGGGGGGGGGGGGGGGGGTCTACTTTACATCAAAGATTCAATTAAGTATGAACGGATCCTTGAATTTGAAACAAATAAAATTGAATGTATATGGCTTAAAGTTTTTCCTGAATTTTCCAAATCTTTTATTTTATTCTTAACGTATAGACCACCTCATTCTTATGTCGAGTGGTATGAGAAATTTGAACAAACTTTGTATAATATTTCATCAAAATATGCATCCGCGACTTTTTACATAATAGGTGATTTTAATATTGATTTTAACTCTCCTGTGCCGAAACATTGGCAGACCATTATTTCATCTTTTTCTTTATCACAAATGGTTACAGAACCAACGCGAAAAACCGATTCTTCAGCTACCATTATAGACCATCTGTATACCAACGCACCAGATAATATCAAAGAAATTAAAATACCTCCATACAGTCTAAGTGATCACCTTCCTGTAATTTTCTCAATTAAGAATATTCAAAATAGAAAAAAAATTTTTTAAAAATAAGCACACTTTGATTCAATATCGTCAATTTAAAAATTTAAAGGATTCTGATTTTTTAGATGATTTAATCAATTCTCCATTATCAAATATAGAGCAAATGAATGATATTGATACCGCTCTACCAACTTTTTACGACATTATTTTATCAGTCTTAAATAAACATGCCCCTATTAAAACCAGACGTGTAAAATACCCTACTCAACCCCTGTGGTTTAATGATGAAATTAAATCTGCGAGAAGGAAGATAGATTATTATAAATTGATTGGCAATGGAAATTTATATAAACAATGGCGTAATAAAGAAGTTAATAGAGCAGGCTAAGACTGACCATGTTAAAGATATCATTGCTAATAAAAAAGACAAGACCATCTGGCAATATCTGAATTCTCTACAAGGAAAATTATCATTAGGCCCAAATTACCCACAAACTATTGAACATCATGACTTTATAACATCTGACCCAACCCAAATTACCGAACTAATGAATGAATATTTTACCAATATAACAGACGATATAAAGCCATCGTATAAACCTCTCCAACAACAAAATATCATTCAAAATTACGTCAATGACAAAGTTTCTGGTGGTTTTCTATTTGACCTACCTTTTATCTCAGTTTCAGAAGTACTAAGATATCTTAAAAACCTTGAACCCAAAAAGGCTACGGGTTTAGACAGTCTAGGCCCAAAAATTTTAAAAATGTCAGCTGAGGTGATTTCAAGTTCACTTACTTATATTATAAATTTGTGTTTAACCAAATGTATCTTTCTCGATCAACTGAAAGAAGCTAAAATAGTGCCAATTTATAAAAGGAAACATTTTCAATTATAGACCAATTTCTATTTTACCCACCATTTCTAAAATTTTTGAAAAACATATCTCCATTAACATTAAGTCCTTTTTTAATAATTTCAATTTATTTTATGTTAACCAGTTTGGTTTTAGAGAGAATCATTCTTGTTCTACAGCACTAGTTCGGATTACTGATAATTGGCTTGAATGTTTAGACCAGGGTAAATTGACAGGTGTTGTCTACTTGGATTTCAGTAAGGCTTTTGATCTTTTGGATCACCAGCTCCTTCTTGACT